GGCGGCCCTCACACCCCGGAATTTGCGCCTGCGCTTTGCTTGGCTTTCATTTCCCACCTCTTGTTCAATTTCTACTTTCCTTCCTCCATGCTTAAGAAACCGGAAGTTCCCGCCCCCTCGGTGTCTAGCGGCTAGAGTGCCACCCCTTCCGTCTCGGGCGCCGCGGTGGCCGACGGGACGTTGGAGGGAAGGGAGGTGTCCCGCACACCCCAGAGTAGGGCGGGGCGAGCGTGACGTCGCGGGCCAAAATGGCGGCGGTGGTCGGAGTCTCCTTGAAGCGCAGTCTTGTCCCGGGAGTCGCTCTGCTTCCTGGGTTCTGGGTACAGGTGAGGCCCGGCCTATCGGAGCGGAGCGCACGAGGAGGGCTGGGAGCAGCCGAGGATCACAGAACGACAGAGCTGGGAGGAGCACGGGGAATCCGTGGGGCAGCCCCCTTCCCTTACACGCGGGGAAACTGAGGCTTGGGAGGCTGCGGATCAAGGCCCAGCTGGCGGGAGACTAGAGGGCGGCAAGAGGGAGCGTGGAACGAGGAAGGGTGGGACGTAGAACGTGGAGTGTCAGCGCTGGGAGCGACCTAGAACCAAGAATAAAGGAACCCACGGGACCTAGAACAGAGTCAGAGCTGAGAGGGATCCAGAATCGAGCCGTGTTAGCACCGAGAGGGGCCACAGAATGTCAGAGCTGGGAGGGCCCTTGGAACCCAGGATGTCAGAGCTGGGAGGTCCCTTGGAACATAGAATGTCAGGCCTGGGAGGGATCTTAGAACCCAGAATGTCAGAGCTGGGAGGGCCCTTAGAACATGTCAGGACTTGAGGTGACCTAGAACATACAGTATCAGAGCTGGTTGTCTTTGAGGTCATCTAGTATAACCTCTTCATTTTGCAAATAATTAAAGTGAACCCAACAAGGAAATGTGGTTAGTCCAAGGTCATACAGCGAGTTAAACTGTCAGGGCCACTCTAAATCTCATGCTTTTTCCCCTGCTCTTTCTTTCTTCCTCTTCCCTCCCTCACTCCCTCTCCCCTCCCTCACTCCCTCTCTTCCCCCACTTTCTTGTTGTAAACTTGGGCAGGTAATGGACCTTCCCATGCATCTCAGAATTTTAGATCTGGAAGGAAATTCAAAGGTCAATTATCTGGATCTGTACTTCAGTCTCATGGGATCTGGCAGTTTGTCCAAGCTCTGGGTATAGTCTCACCAAAGAATGAGCATTAAATTATCTATCAATAATTAACTTCTTGCTCCCTTAAAGAAATTATTTACTCATTTTTCTTTGTGGTTGCTGAGCAAACAGATGTGTTGTGTACCTTATTGTTAGGTTTAATTGACTTGATGTCAGTAGCCATGAGAATGAGCTCAAACCTCTTCTCCCTAAGGAAGAACTAATTAGTGTGGAAATTTTTGCAATCTCAGTATGGCTGTGACGTTAGAACCTCCTAGAAGCAACTAAAATGTGTTCTCTGGGTGGGGTTGAGTTTTATTGCTCAGAAATGTTCTCAGAAGAATCTCATCAATGCTAAGAATGAAGGTCTGGTGGCATCCTCGTTGCTTGAGACTACCTTATTGAAAACAGCTAGGTGGCTCAGTGAATTGTGCACCAGGCCTGGAGTCAGAAAGACCTGAGTTCAGATTTGGCCTTAGACACTTACTAACTGTGTGATCCTAGGCAAGTCACTTAACTTCCATTTGCCTTAATCCGTTGGAGAAGGAAATAGAAAAAGATACACAGTATCTTTCCCTAGAAAACCCCTAACAGGGTCATGAAGAATCAGATTGACTGAAACACAAAAACAACATTATTATTGAGAATAATACAATTGGCTCCCATTTCCATAACACTTTGTGAATTCCGAGGTGCTTTTGTCATTGTTTTCTGTAAATAACAACCCTGTGATGTAGGTAGTGCTTTAATTCTCTCCATTTTACTCTAAGGAAAACCAGGGCTTGGTTGAAATGATTTATTTGCCCATGCTTTTGTGACTGTGAAGTGACCAAACTCTTTGATTAACCGATCAATCAGTAAGCATTTATTCAGCACTTACTACATGTGCAAGGCTCTGTGCTAAACCTTAGAGACATAAAGACAGAAATCAAGAAGTTCTGCTTAAATTTTAATGGAGATAACATGAATAAATACAGGTACATACCTGGCATTTACAAAGTGAATACAAGGCAGTTTGGGGAGGGAAGCCTTTTCCACCCCACCAGAGTACTGAGACCACTTCTTTCCCCGTGTCTTTCCTGCCCTTACCTTTGTCCTTCTCTTAGAGTCCTTAATCCAGTTACTTGCTTTGTTTTTTTTATCTATAGGCCTTGTCTCCCCCAGCTAGAGTGTAAGTGTTTCCAGGGCAGGGACTGTGGCCTATTTTATACCTCTTTGTTTTTTAACAGAGTGCTTTACACAAAGTAGATAGATACTCTGTATATATTTGTTTTTGATGGTGATAATTCACCTTGCCCCAACTCTGCCAGTTACTACCTGTATGAGCTTGAGCAGGTCCATTAGCCAGCTTGGGTCTCAATTTCCTCAACTGTACAATGAAAAGTTTGGACCATGTGATCATTAAGATGTCATTTTAGCGCTAGAAAGGATCTGTGATCTAGAAAGGAGATACCAGCACTGGAATGTGAGAGTCTGTGGAACCCTGGATAGCAGCTTCCTCACCTGGGTACCAGTACCCTCCCACCCCACAGAGACTTTCCACTACACGGTGCTGATTGCTCCATTCTCCAAGCTTAGACAGTAGTTTGTTTGGCACAACTTAGCACTTTGTGATATTCAGTCTTAGGCGTCTGATCTCCACCAAGGCTCACACTGCAGCCAGAATGACCTTCCTAAGGATGTGACCATGTCACGTGCTCACAGACTTTCATTAGCCTCAGGCATAAAATCTATCAACCCCTGAGCCTAGCATATGTGCCCCAGTCTCCACCTTTCCTTCCCCACCTTATTTCCCGTTACCCTCTGCCTATACTGTACATGCCAGCCAAACTGCATTACTAATTGATGTTCCTTGAATTGGGCATTTCATGTCCTGTTCCCGTACATTTAAGGTCATCCCCACTGCCTAGAAATTCTCCTTCATTGATACCTGTGTCTTTACCTCAAGGTTCAGTTCAGGTGCTTTTCCCTCCATGTTGCCTTCTCAGTCTCTGCCTCTGCTCCCCCACACTCACCCATATACACCAGCTCAGAGGATTCTCTTCAGATTTTACAAGAGTTTTTGTTTGGATCTCTTGTTTGCCCCATTACACCCAACTCTGTATTTTACTTACCTGTGTACACGTATGTCCTTCCCCCATCCCTCAGTAGGACGTAAGTTCCTGGGGTGTGGGAACTGTCTTTTATGTGTCCTCTCCAGGCATAGCAGAGCACTGTGTACACAGTAGACCCCTAAGAAATGCTTGCTTCAGGCATCTCATACTTGAATCTCCTATTACTCACCTTCCAGTGTTCCCATTTTATCAGCTCTTTTCCCCTTTCTTCCCAGATGAATAAATCATTTAGATTTAGATAGGAGAAGGAGGTAAGAACTATAAACAGGAGGTTTGCATTTCAGACCAATTATTAATCTTTTCTCTAAAATTAAATGATGAATTCCTTGAGGGCAGGAATTTTATTTTACAGGGCTATCTTTCCAACTGACTTTTGGTAGGTACTTGGCAAATATTTGCTAATTAGTCTCACAGAAGAGCCAGTTTGGGGAAACAGAAAGGTTTTCTTAGTAGAGTCTGGCAGAGTTCAAAATTAAGTTAGACTTTCCATCTCTCTGACAAGGGCCTTTCTCCCTTTTTCCCCACTGTGCAGCTCTCAAAACAAATTTGTCTTTTGTCCTTCTTCTCTGAACTCTTAATGTTTTTCCAGACTGTTCTGGCTGAAATTATTTGTCCGTGCGGAACATCATTCATTCTTCAGCACAACTTGGAACGCACTGTCTTCCTCACTTCGCCAAATCCAGTATCTAGTTATTTTATGACTCCTCTTTCAGATGGCAAATGCCAGTGTATCTTGTGAGCAGTAACTGCAGAATAGCCTTGTCTAGTGCAAAGAGTGCTGGTTCTAGAATTGGGAGACCTGAATTTGTCTCCAGGCTGGGATACCTACCTCTTTGAGCTTAGTCAGAGTCAGTGATCGTCCCAGGTTCTTCATTTCTTCTCCTGTAAATGGGGCCTGGCCTCTGAGATGCCTTTAACACTACATCTGTGCTCCTGTGCTTCGTGGTCCCCAGGGCCCCATCCCGCACAAATCAGTGACCCTGAAACCTCCATCTTCGGGCTCTCACAGATGGTGGATGGTGTTGCCCATCTTGAGGCAGACACCTCAAGGATGACTTTTTGTCCGGTTCATCTCAACACCGATTAAGCCCCTAGGATGTGCCCAGCACTGGGGACACACAAGTGAAGCAACAGAAGGAGCTTACTTCCTGCTGGAGGAACACCAGAAGGGAACTAGAATACACAAAGCCATTTCAAGAGAGGGGAGTGCGGTTTGCTCTTTGTGTGGATTGCCAGGGTTGATTGGTTCTTTGGTCACTTGGTTAGTTTCTACCTGTGTTGTCAAAGAAAGTCTTGGGCAGCCTAGGGAAAGGAATTATCGTTCTGCATTGCCCAGCTTTTTGGGGTGCTATTCATTTTATTACTACTATTTCTGAGGAGACCCTCTTGGTTTTTCTACTAAAAATGTTATTTGGTAGATGAGGTTTCAGAGGACAGACCTGGGGAGAAGTCAGAGACATATTTAAATGTAAGAAACTCCCTACTGGTAGTGGAGCTCCCCAAAATAGAAGGGCCATCTTCCAAGGAAGTACCAGCATAGGTGTTCAAGTAGAGGCCAGATATGTCGGTTGAAGGAATTCCTATAATCGGCATGAAATGGGGGTGGCCAAGGCCCCTGCAAGTACTAGGCATCCGTGATTCTGAGGTAATAAGCCTGCCTGTTTCCTTGTGAGATAGATGGGTGACCTACCTGGAATGTGCTATGAATGTGACACCAAATAAAATTAGACTGGCTCGTACTTCTCTGGTGCTTGAATGTTTTCACAACATAGACAGTAACCCTGTGGGGCAGGGTTGCCATTTTACAAATGATGAAACAAGTTGAGAGAGGCAAACTGGAGTGTCAGAACTGGAAACTTGGCCGACATGCTCAGGAGTCAGGCCCGGTGCTCCTTCAGTCATATATTGCCTTTCTGTTCTCTAAACAGCCTCGTTTTGCTCAGGTCAGACCACACCCCATGATACCATGGTGCACATACAAGTGGTTGCTTGAGGAAGCGCAGGAAGTAGCAATAGGAACATTTAGACTTAAACCCAAAGGTCCTGGCCTGGGTCCATGCTGAATGATGGTGGGTAAAGTCCATCAGCTCGCAGCCTCAGTTTCCTCATCTGCAGGTCTCCAGCCTGAATCGCTGTGCCTTTGCAGTCATCCCCTCCCCCTTTAAGGTTTCCTGGCTCCTTTAAAGACTTAGCTCAAACCCCACCTCTGCAGAAAGCCTTTTTGGTCCCTAGCATCTTCCCAGAGGCTAATAATACCTTCCCCTCCGAGATTACCTTCTATTTACACTGTATAGATCTTGTATCTACGTCATTATTTATGTGTTGTCTCCCCCAGTAAAATGTGATCTCCTCAAGGGGAAGGACTGTGTTTTTGCTTTCCTTTGTGTCCTCAGCATTTAGCACAGTGCCTGGCACATAGTAAGTGCTTAATAAATGCTCATTGACAGATGGACTGAAATGTGCCCAAAGAAGGAAAGGTCTTTCCAAGGTCACCCAGTGAGCCAGTGGTAGACCTGGAGCAAGGGATCTTTTCTGCAGACTCTTAGCCCCTTGCCCTTTCCATAACAACAGAGGTGACTGACTTTTTATTTATATATATATTGACCTTGAAATTGACTCTTTTTTTTTGTTTGTTTAGTATTTTCTTCTCCCCCAATTACATATAATAACAATTTTTAACATTCATTTTTAAAACTTTGAGTTCCAAATTCTCTCTTCCTCCCTCTCCCCTCCCACCCCCATTGAGAAGGCAAGCAGTTCAGCATAAGTTATACATAGGTAGTCATGCGAAACATTTCCATATTACTCATGTTGTGAAGAAAACATAGACCAAAAAAAGTGAAAAAGTATGCTTCAATCCGTATTCAGACACCATCCCTTCTTTCTCTGGGGATAGATAACATTTTTCATCGTAAGTCCTTCAGAGTTGTCTTGGATCACTGTATTGCTGAGAATAGCTAAGTCATTCACAGCTGATCATCTTATAATATTGCTGGTACTTTGTACACAGTACATTTCACTTTACATCAACTCATGTAAGTCTAGGTTTTTCTGAGCGCATCCTGCTCATCATTTCTTATAGTACAATAATATTCCATCACAATCACATACTACAATTTGTTCAACCATTCCCCAATTAATGAACATCTTCTCAATTTCCAATCCTTTGCCACCAGAAAAGGGATGCTATAAATATTTTTGTACATATAGGTCCTTTTCCTTTTTGTTTTTATCTCTTTGGATGCAGATCTAGGAGTGATGTTGCTAGGTCAAAGGGTATGCATTTTTTAGCCCTTTGGTCATAGTTCCAAATTACTCTACAGAATGGTTGAGTCAGTTCCCAACTCCACCAGCAGTGCATTAATGCCTTATTTTTCCCACATCCCCTCCAATATTTCTCATTTTCCTTTTTTGTCCTATTATTAGCCAATCTAATAGGTATGAGGCAGTACCTCAGAATTGTTTCAATTTACATTTCTTCAATCAATAGTGAGAGTATTTTTTTTCATATGGCTATAGATAACTTTAATTACTTCACCAGAAAACTCTTCATGTCTTTTGATCATTTATTAATTGGGGAATGTCTCTTTTGTAAATTTGACTCACTTCTCTGTATGTTTGAGAAATGAGGCCTTTATCAGAGAAACTTAGTTCAAAATTTCTTTTCATAGTTACTGTTGTTAACTATATTTCTCTCCATCCTGTTTACCCCTGTTTATTCTGTTCTCTCTCTACTTTCACCCTGTTCCTCCACAAACATGTTTTGCTTCTGACTACTGCCTCACCCAATCTGCCCTCTCTTGTATCTATTCCCCCCTCCTTCTTTTATCCCCTTCCCCTTCTGCTTTAGTGTAGGGTAAGACAGATTTCTATACCCAGTGGAGTGTGTATGTTTTTCCCTCTTTGAGCCAATTCTGATGGGGCTAGGGTTCACTCACTCCCTCTCACCTCCCCCATTTTCCCCTCTACCGTAAAAGCTTTTTCTTGCCTCTACCTTTCCCTTTCTCCCAATGCATTCCTCTGTCACTTCTTAATTTTATTTTTTTAGATATCATCCCTTCATTTTCAACTCACGTGTGCCCTCTATCGATCTATATGTATGTGTGTGTGTGTGTATATATGTATGTGTATATATATGTGTGTGTGTGTGTATGTGTGTATATATATATATATATATATATACACACTCCTATATATACTCCTTCTGACTGCCCTAATGAGAAATTTCTTAGGAGTTACAAGTACGCTCTTCCCATGTAGGAATGTAAACAGCTTAACCTCATTAAGTGCCTTACGACTTCTCTTTCCTGTTTACTTTTTTAGCTTGTCTTGAGTCTTATATTTGAAAGTCAAATTTTCTATTCAGCTCTCCTCTTTTCAGCAAGAATACTTGAAAGTCCTCTATTTCATTGAATATCCATTTTTCCCCTGAAGAATTATACTCAATTTTGCTGAGTAGGTGATTCTTGGTTGTAATTCTGTTTCCTTTGTCCTCCAGAATATCATATGCCAAGCCCTCTGATCCTTTTATGTAGGGGCTGCCAAGTTTTGTGATATCCTTCCTGACAGTGTTTCCACAATACTTAAATTGTTTCTTTCTGGCTGCTTGCATTATTTTCTCCTTGACCCGGGAGCTCTGGAATTTCACTATAATATTTCTGGGAGGTTTCATTTGAGATCTCTTTCAGGAGGTGATTGGTGGATTCTTCCCATTTCTATTTTACCCTCTGGTTCTAGAATATCAGGGCAATTTTCCTTGATAATTTCTTGAAAGATATCTAGGTTCATTTTTTGATCATGGCTTTCAGGTAATCCAATAATTTTTAAGTTATCTCTCCTGGATCTATTTTCCAGGTCAGTTATTTTTTCAATGAGATATTTCACATTGTGTTCTATTTTTTTCATTCTTTTGGTTTTGTTTGATTTTTTTCTTGATTTCTCATAAAGTCATTAGCTTCCATTTGCTCTATTCTAATTTTTTTTTGGGGGGGGGCTAGGTAATGAGGTTAAGTGACTGCCCAGGGTCACATAGCTAGTAAGTGTCAAGTGTCTGAGGCCAGATTTGAACTCAGGTCCTCCTGACTGCAGGGCTGGTACTCTATCCACTGCCCCACCTAGCTGCCTCTCCATTCTAATTTTTAAGGAATTATTTTCTTCAGTGAGCTTTTGTACCTCCTTTTCCATCTGACCAATTCTGCTTTTCAATGCATTCTTCTCCCATTGTTTTTTTTTATATCATTTGTCCTAGTCTGTTTTTTAAGGTGTTACTTTCTTCAGCATTTTTTTGTGGCTCCTTTACCAAACTGTTGACTCTTTTTTCATTATTTTCTTGCGTCACTCTCATTTTTCTTCTTAATTTTTCCTCTACCTTTCTTAACTTGGTTTTCAAAATCCTTTTTGAGTTCTTCCATGGCCTGAGACTAATTCATATTTTTCTTGGAGGCTTTGGATGTAGGAGCTTTGACTTTGTGTTTTTATCTTCCTTGTCACCATAGTAACTTTCTATGGTCAGAATTTTTTTCTGTTGTTTGCTCATTTTCCCAGCCTGTTACTTGACTTTTAACTCTTTGTCAAAGTAGGGCGCAGCTCCTGAGGTGGAGGAAGTACTGTTCCAAGCTTCAGGGGTTTTGTGTGGCTGTTTTCAGAGATACTTCTGGCGACCTCTAAGTTTTCAGTTCTTCCAAGTTGGTATGATCTAAGGAGGGGTGTTTACTCCTTTTCTGACCTATACTCTGGTCTGTGAGGGACCATATGCACTCTTTTTTGCCCTGGAACTATGAGGAGAGGGTCCCTTCTCTACTGCAGCCTGCAAGCTCTGGTGTGCTAGTGTTCCTTCTTGTCCTGGGACTGCTACCCAGATCTGAGTATAGGCAAAGCAACAGAGTCCCGTTCCCAACTCCAGCAAAGAGACCGCTGTAATCTTTTTCTGGTCAATTGTTCGACCCCCTTACCAACTGTGGGCTGAGAGCTCCGGAAACAGCTGCCGCCACTGCAGATTCAGTAACTCCCAAGGCCTACTCCCAAGGCCTGCTCCCAGTTTGCTGGTGCAGCTTGTGGTCTGTGCTGGTGCAGCTTGTGGTCTGTGCTGGTCTGTGCTGGTGCAGCTGGTGCTAGACTGTGCTCCCCTCTCACCCAGGTGTGACAGACCTTTCCTGCCAACCTTCTAGGTTGTCTTTGGCTGAAAAATTATTACACTCTGTCCTTTTATGGGTTCTGTTGCTCCAGGAATTATCTTATGGCATTATTTAAAGGGGTTTTGGGGAGAGCTCAGGTGAGTCTCTGCCTTTTCTCTGCCATCTTGCCCCACCTCCTCCTGGCTTTTTCATTTTTAATCCCAATAGTAGAATTTAGAATAATATCTCTTCAAACCTTTTATCATTGAATGTTTGGCAAACTGTTTATTCCTGTTTCTGTGATTTCTTTTCCCCCTACTTCAGGCCTGCCGAGGGGCCCAGACAGCAGCTGCTGCAGCTCCCCGCCTCAAGAAGTTTGCCATCTACAGATGGGACCCAGACAAGCCTGGAGATAAGCCCCGAATGCAGACTTATGAAATCGATCTGAACAAGTGAGTGGCTGGGGCCAGAACTTGGAGCCAGAACAGGGTTTTGAAGGACAGGCAGTGTTCTGGTGATGGGGTTGATGATTAATTCAAAACGACAATACCAAATGGGAAAAGTCTACAGAAGTAGCCTCTAAATGAGAGACAACTTTTTTATGAAATTACACTTGTGACATGAGCCCCTTATCAATATATTCTTATCAAACTGGTGTGTTTAAGTCTCCAGGGTTACATTGCGTCCCTAGTCATGTGCATGCTGATGTAATAATGATGGACACCATAGAGCAGCCATGGTGTCTCTGAAATCATAAGGTCGCAGGTCTGGAATTAGCCAGCTCCTCCTCCTGGAGAATGTTCATTCCCTTCAGAGATCATCAGCTCCAGCCCCTGCCTGCACAGGAATGCCCTCTCTGATGTCCCAGACTCTCTCACTCAGTTTCTGCATGAAGACCTCCAATGAGGAACTTAGGTGGAAGGGCATTCTGCTTTGGGAGAGCTCCATGGGTTAGGAGGCTTGTCCTGAATGGAGCCGAGCTCTGCCTCTGGAGGCCAAGCAGAACGAGTCTGTCCCATCTTCTGCACAACGACCCAAAGATAGTGAGCATGCCCTCTTCAGTTTTCTGTTGTGCAGGCCAAGCTATTTCCTTTGACTAATCTACCTACTCAACATACTCTCGAATCCTTTGACTTTCTGATTATCCTCATCCGGCCAAATGCTGTTTTGTTCCTATCCTTCCTAAAATATGGCGCCTGAAACTCAGCTGAGCTGTTTGTCACCTTTCTGACTCACTGAGGCATCCAGTCCACTAATACCCCTCATAGCTTTTTCATGCACATGGTGTAGCCACATATCCTGGTATAGATTGTGGAGACATCACTGAAAAGGAAGGTGGTTTTGAGGTTACTGGGGTGACGTTGGGGTACGCCATGGCTTCATATGCAGTCTTATTCTTTCCAGTCCATTTAGAAATGTTCATGTTTGACTGTCAGTCATGATTTTTAAAATTTATTTTAAAAAAAATCAATAGAGATATGGTGGCTTGGGACCCATTTTTGTTTTGGAAGGACATATGTTATTTAAGAGGTGAAGAGTGGGGATGAGGAAATGGGGTAGAAAGTATACTTGTGGGGCAGCTAGATGGTGCAGTGGATAGAGCACTGGCTCTGGAGTCAGAGGACCTGAGTTCAAATCTGGCCTCAGACACATAAAAACTCACTAGCTGTGTGACTCTGGGCAAGTCACTTAACCCCATTTGCCTCACTAAAAAAAAAAGAAAGTATACTTGTGTAAGGCATTCTAGGTGTCAGGGTGGACTGAGAACATTGGGTGAAGATCACCAATGAGAGAAAGAGTACCGATGTTATCATCTGGGTGCACCAAGATGGATGAATACTGGAAACAAATAACTTGCTTTTCAAGTAATTTGCGGGGGTAGGGGAGGGCAGGCAGGGTCGGTTATCTTGATCTCTGAGGGAGTACTTTCTGCCAAAGCACAGAGCACTTAATCCTACTTCCACTGTGTTCATAACCACGTAAAGAGTTAGAGCCAGTATGAACAGGCAATTTTCAGAGGAAGAGATTAAAGCTATCTATAGTCATATGAAGAAATACTCTAAATCACTGTTGATGAGAGAAATGCAAATCAGAACAACTCTGAGGTACCACATCACACCTATCAGATTGGCCAACATGACAAAACAGAAAAACGATAAATGTTGGAGAAGATGTGGGAAAATTGGAACACTAATGCGTTGTTGGTGGAGTTGTAAGATACTCCAGCCAATCTGGAGAATAATTTGGAGCTATGCCCAAAGGGCTGTAACATTGACCCAGCATCCAGATTCACAGAAAAGTTTGGATTCAGTCAAAGAGCCACACTTGAGGACCTAGAGAGCCACATGTGGCATCAAGGCTGCAGTTTCCCCGCCCCTGCTTTAGATGGCACTGTAATAGACTGCCTCATCTGTGCTGCTCCAACCAGTTGGATGGTCCAGGCTGGAAACCATGTTTTGAGAGGAATGTTCATAAACTGTCTACGGAATAGACCAGTTAATGGTCTAGAGAAGGGATAGCCAAAGTGAAGAGTTGGGAAACCCCATCATCTGAGAAACTGGCAGGCAATTTTAGCTCCAGTGGGAGGAACAACTTTATAGTAATTATTGCTGTTCAGTAATGGGATGCACTGCCCAAATTAGCAAACTCTCCGCCATGGAGCGGGTGCAGGCAGAAGCCAGGTGACCGTTCGTCAGCTTTGTGGGGTAGGGGCTCCTGCACTGGCTGGGAGGGGAGATTTAATGACCTCGAGAATTCTTTCCAACTTGTGAAAGTCATTGATTTGGTGAGGAAAACAAATATGGGAAGATGCTGAATGAAGTAAGCAGATACAAGAAAGCAATATAATAATAATAGCACCTACCCTGTGCCAGGCACTGTACTAAGTAAGCACTTTATAGTTAGCTCATTTGATCCTCATAACTTTGGGAGGAAGGTGCTACTATTATGTCCATTTTACAGATGAGGAAACTGAGGTTGAGAGAGAGTAAGTGACATGCCCAGAGTGACAGTGTCTGAGGCAAGATTTGAACTCAGATCTTCCTGGCTCTGGGCCAGTGCTCTCTCCATGGGCCACCCCAGCTGTCCAATATACACAATGATTACATTAGTATAAATAAAAAGAACTGAAATGAATCTGAATGTGGAGTGATTTGAGTGACTAATCTTTTCCTGCAGGAGGGAAGAGGGAAGAGGAGGAGGGGGAGGAGAAGGAAGAGTAGCTGGAGGAGGAATGTTTCTACCTTGTTAGGCACTGTGTTGGCTGTTTTTCTTTGTTACAAGGAAGTGTTTATTGAGGGAAGAATGGTTGGCCAATATCCAGAAGTAATTGATCTAAAAACCAAAGGTATCACCAGAACTTTATTTTTAATTGCTTTAAGTTCAGCATGAATTAGATGATCTCTAAGATATTTTCTAGTTCAAAATTCCATGATCCTTAAATTTTTAGTGGTCACCTCCCTGGAAATGGAATCTGAAATTTAAAATAGTTGTAGCTTTTTAAAAAAAAGGGGGGGGGGTTATTTCAGTAAACATCGTCTTTACTAAACTGAATAATTTCATTGTATATCCTACTTAGTGTACCTTTTTGGAAATAAAATTAAAGCGGCTGCTTTATAAATAACCTTTTGTCAAAAGCTATTTTAGTGAATTTACTGTCTAGGTTTTTATTCTTTAAAATAATAATGATAATTTGAGTAACCTGATCCTTTCACATTCTGTTTCCTAGAAATGTACCTGGTATATTCAGTATAGGATTGTACTTAATATATATGATATTGTACCCTCCATATCCTAATATTAGTTCCAGTGGAAATGAGGGAGAAAAAATAAATCTCTACTCAACAAATATTTACCCAGAAAACAAATTATATATTACAGTTTGTCTTTATGGCAAGTAGGGAGCAAGGTGGAATATAGGATGGCTAAACTTTCTGAAAGATAAGTGTTCTTTTTTTTCCTCCCTTAATAGATGTGGCCCGATGGTGTTGGATGCCTTGATCAAGATTAAAAATGAGATGGACGCCACGCTGACCTTCCGAAGGTCATGCCGAGAAGGTAAATGGTCCCTTCACTTTGAGCGAAGGGACTGGCTTTCATATTTTGGTTCTCAAACCCGAGCCGGCCAGGATGGGGCTGATGGGACTTCATGAGGGGGAGTCTCCTCTCCCTTGGTCACTCCCTCTTCTGGTGATAGTACTCAGAATCACCGGTCACTTTGATTCAAGAGTGCAAGCTTGGAAACAATCAGAGGCTTGCTAAGGCTGCAGAGACAGGACAGACGTGTGGATCTGTCCTTTGGTTTATTCTAATCTTTAAGGAAACATTTGTCCAGTAAATGTTTTTCTAGATTCAGTCGGATACTTTTAAGTAACTTCTCCCCTTCTTCAGATTCTTCAGAAACATGAGAATAAGTTTAGGCCTGTTTGACAAAAAACAGCAACAATAAAGTCCAGACAAAAAAGGGAAGGCCTTTGCCTAATGAGAAACAGATTTGTCATGACCAGAAGCCAGTGAGTTTCATGAGCTGATTTTGTGAGCCTGATCACTGGAAAGCTCCTTCCACGGGCATCGTAGTGAAAGGAAGGAATTCTGGAACAGCTGCAGCAGTGTCAGAGGCAGCACTGAGATAAGGCAAACCCCCGACCAGTTTGGTGCCCCCTGTCTAAATGAAGGCCTGCACCCTCCTTCCTTGCTAATCTTGGTAAACTCCTGAAGTGTGGGGGGGGGAAAGGGGGATGGGACACCCAGTCAGACACAGACCTTTGAGTGAAAATGGTGGCCTTTTTTCAGGGAAAGTACTGTGCAGGAGGGTTGAAGTGTGTGTTGGTCAGCAAGTATCTAGGGCAAAACAGAGTAGTAAAAAAACAACGTTTTAGTCTTGGGGAATGAGGATCTGAGTGCCAGTTCTGCTACTTAGCACCTGTGTGGCTAATGCCCTGCCCTGGGTGAGATCTTAGCAGGAGGATTGCGCGCAGTCCTCGGTTCTACTTTGAAAAGGGTATTGATAAATGCGAGAGCCTTCGAGGACAGAGCCGAGAGGATGGGGAGGATCGATCTGTGGGATCACATCTCATAAGAATCATGTGAAGAAACTGGGGGTGTTTAGTCTAAAAGGAGGTAAGACCGAAGACCGATTTAGACTGGGAGGGAGTGGCCTGGAGCCAGCTATGGACAGGGATTTGGGCTGTCCGTGGGACTGGACCCATTCTGTTTGGAGTGAGATATCAACTGGGAACAGGGGTAGGAATTGAAGGAAATGGGCTGCCCCTGGAAGGGAGGAGCTCCTCCTTGGGGGTCTGCGAGCAAAGGCTGGAGGGCCACTTAGCAGGAGGCGGGAGGGTCGTAGCAAGGGTTCTTTAAAAATGCATTGTCGATATGTGTCAGCATTTTTCAGTAGAACAAGTGCCCAGACACACCTGCTTTGTAGAGGGGCATCTTGTGGGGCTCTGAGTGGGCCTATGTCAACTGAACAAATCCCTGTGGGCAGCATATTGACTTAGAAAACATCTGCGCTGCATTTTTAGTTGTATTTTTTAATTGATTAATTTATTTTTATTTTGTCAAACATTTCCCAATTCAATTTTAATCTGTTTCTTTCCTTGCTCCACAAGCTTCACATCTGTGGCCTCCATTGGCTGTGAAGGAAGTGCTTTCCAGCTCTGAGATTGCCAAAGATAATTGACTTTGCCTCTCTAGCCTCTAGTTCCTCGTCTGTAGAATGAGGGGTGTAGACTAGGTGGGTCCTGAGCTCCCTCTGTAATGTCGTGGGGGTCTTGCAGCTTGGATATGCTCTAAGCCTCTTTCTTCCCAGCCGTGACATTCTGCATCTCCAGTTCTGTGATCAGGGTGCTGTGATGATGAGCTCTGCTCTCCGAACTTCCTTTTGTGGGTGTCTTATCTGTACTTACTGCATTGTAAGAATGAATCTGGTCTTATCCAAACTTCCAAACACAGCTCCTTGCACACCACAGGCACTTAATAATTGTTGTTGTATTATATTGTAGTGAGTTACCACTGGACAGATTGCTTCTTAATGCATTTGGTTAGTTCATCATTCCTCCTTTGAAAGCCAGACAGTGACCAGCAGATATCAGCTGTCTGATAAATGAGCCCCCAACCCCTGCGGCACGTGGTGTCTCACAAGGGCGAGGACGGCTGTGGCTGATTCTGCTTTTGAAGCCGTCAGGTGGCTAACCTGCCTGCCTTCAGGCGGGCCTCAGTGGTGGTGTCGGGGTGGTAGGTGAGAAATGAGGAAACTGGCCTCACACTGGGAGTGAGCAGACGGGCTCTGTCTCTCGCAGGCATCTGTGGTTCCTGTGCAATGAACATTAATGGGGGCAACACGCTGGCCTGCACCAGAAGAATCGACTCCAACCTCAGCAAAGTCTCTAAAATCTACCCTCTCCCCCACATGTACGTGGTGAAGGATCTTGTCCCGGTGAGTTCCCATCATTCGTGTTAGAGATAGGACAGGAAGGGGCCCTCTTCCAAGATTCCTCCGTTCTCTTTGGGCAGTGGGTTCCCACAGGAGTCCTGCTTCCAGTCTCTCCAGCCCATCCTCACATAACTGCTAGAACAGTCTTCCAGAAACACGGATCTGCCCAAGAGTCGTTAGCGGCTTCCTGTTGCTTCTGAGATGAAGCATAAAGTCTTCCCTTAGCCTGGCGTTTCAAAGCCCTCCGTCATCTGGCTCCAGCTCCCTCTTCATGCGCTCTGCATGTCAGCCCAGCTAGCCCCCTATCTGTTCTCCAAATCTGCATCCCGTCCCCCCTCTGCCTGTCTGCCTACAGTTCTCTGACCCCCTGCCTGGCATGCACATCTTCCTCCCCTCTGCCTCTCCAATCCCAGCCCAGGGGCTGTCTGCTCAGATCCTTCCCTCCCTCTTCTTTCTGTTTATCTTTGCACTTGTGTGACCTACTGTTAGAATATAAGCTCCTTGAGGGCGGAGCCTACTTCATTTTTGTTTCTGTGACCCCAGCACCTAGAACCGTGCTTTGTACCCAGCAGAGACTTAATAAATGAGTTACATTGTTTTTCTCCACTCAAAGGAAACTCCTAAGAGAGGGACAGAAATACGGGGACCTAAGAGAATGTTGCCTAGAAGGAGAAAGTAAGCCACCAAACCCAGAAGACCCTCGGCCTGGTTGGGTTGTGGAGGGACTACAGACCTTCCCCTTGGAGAGCCAGCGCTTCTCCTGGAAATAACTGGTCCTGACCCCAGAGAACTTCTGGGGAGGCCAGAGAAGCGACGAGGCTCTGTGTGCTCCCACCCTCCTGGGTTTGACACCTGCTAGCGGAGGGCAGGGAGAGCAGGGGAGCGGAAGACTTGAGTCAGAGAAGGGCCCAGGAAACCCAAGAGGAGAGTCTTAGTGCTGTTAGGTGGCACAATAGTACTTGGAACACAGGCTTAAAGTTAGAAAGATCTGAGTTCAAATCCAATCTCAGACACTCTCTAGCTGTGTGACCCTGAGTAAGTCACTTCTTTGCTGTCTGCCTCAGTTTCCTCATCTGTCAAATGAGAGTAATAAGAGCACCTATTTCCCAGGGTTGTGACAATCAAGCGAGTTAACATTTGTAAAGAACTTAACATGGTTCCTGGCATATAGTAGGTGCTTAATAAATGCTTGTTCCCTTCCCCCTACTCCCCTGCATTGTAAGATATGACAGGATTTAATTCACTTATTTCTTGCTCTCTTTCTCAGGATCTGAATAACTTCTATGCACAGTATAAATCCATTCAGCCTTACTTAAAGAAAAAGGATGAATCCCAGAGCGGCAAGGAGCAGTATCTTCAGTCCATAGAAGATCGAGAGAAGCTGGTATTATTGTGTTCAGTGTTTTGGTTTGGGAGTGGGTTGGGATCTTTTGTTAGTGCCGTGGTTTTGAGGTGGGACCAAGAGACACATGGTTGCTTTTTAGGATGCTGTTGGCAGACCTAGAACATGGGACAAATGTCCTGAGACCCTCCAGAAGCAAAGACTCAGAACCAGACTTTGGTCCTCCAGCCTTTTCTTGGTCTAGAGAGGGCTCACTATGCCGGGACACCCAGAGAGTCTCAGGCCAGAGGCCAGGCTGTGATTCAGGGAGATGCTTGGAGGCCATTCCGTGTGCTAGGCGCTGGTGAAGCAAGGTCATTCAGTTCTCATGGTGTCTGACTTTCTTGGCGTTGCCTGGGACCCAGGTGCAAGTAGGAGCATCCTCTTTCAGAATGTCGGTCCTGACCACAGAGCCCAGAGTCAGATGAGCCTTCTAGTGGGCTTCCTGGCCGCTGTCAGTCAGCAGTGCCGCATTTACCCAGCATCTCTGCTGGTCACATAAGTGATTTTCCAAAGAACTGAAGCTCAGCTGTTTAAATAGCAAAGCCCTTTTTATTTTATTTTATTTTAATCGTTTTCAACAGAAATCTTTCTAAAATATACCCTACACATTCCTGCCTTAACCAGAGTATACTAAACAGTATTTAAAGGTCATCATTCTGACCATGCACTCCCCCCATGCTGAGAAGCTCTCCTTGGTCAACAGAGCTGCCATTGTAGCCCCCCTCCTCAGGTGAGGTGGGCTGAAAAATAACCCCGCCAACCCAAAATGTTAAAATCGTGTCTAAATTGAATCAGGTCCTAAGAGATGGTCTGTGGGTCTCTTCCAGGAAATAAGGCGTGAGTGTGTTAGAGCACCAGCTATCTGACAGCCGCCTCAGTGGGTCAGAGGCCTTTTTCACTTCCTGCTTCTGGGGGCACATGGCAAAGGTCCAGATGGTAGAGGTTCCTAGAAGTCTTACTTCTGGGTGAGGGGAACAGTAAAGGGTGCTTGTCCTTCCTTAGATACTCCTGGGGACCACGAGCCTAGGATTCTAGTCCTAACTCCACACAAGTAGGTCTGGGAAACAGCTCTATTCCTCTGAGGTGTTCTAGGATGGAGCTGTCAGGGTACTCAGAGGTCATCTGGCCTGGTCCAGTCCTCTCATTCCGCAGCTCAACAGCGCCATAGTGCACAGAGCGCCAGGCCTGGAGTTGGGAAGACTCCTCTCTGAGCTCAAATCCCGCCTCAGACATTTACAAGCTGTGTGACCCTGGGTGAGTCACTTCACCCTGTTTGCCTCAGTTTCCTCATATGTCCAGTAAGCTGGAGAAGGAAATGGCAAACCACTCCAGTATCTTTGCCAAGAAAACCTCAGATGGTCACAGAGAGTCAGACACAACTAAACAACAGAAAGGATCCTGTAGGAAATCAAGGCCCCGAGAAAGGAAGTCACTTTGTCCAGAGGGACAGGGCAGGCACTTGAAGCAGGTCCTCGTGATTCTACATTGTCCTCGCCCTGCGCCCAGGGCCCTCAGGGGCCTCTGGTTGATATCCTTAGCTGGGACCGTCTTAGTTTTTTGTGTTTATAACCTATGTGAGAGGACCAGATGCCTTGGAGTCAGGGTGAGCCACGTTTAGGTCCTTCTCCCCCGTATCACTGGTGACCTGGGCAAGGCTCCTGACATCTCAGTGCTTTGGGTGGCTCTTTAAGACTGGATGGTAGAGAAGGCACCAGCCCGCATCAGTAAGGGGAGTTTCCTCATCTGGGAATTCCCTGCCTAGACCAAAGACATGCAGGTCTGGCCCCGTCCCTGTCTCTGTCCCTTAAAACAAAGTCACTGCTCCACCCTTGTCCCATCCTCTCCTCAGGACGGGCTCTACGAGTGCATCCTCTGTGCCTGCTGCAGCACCAGCTGCCCCAGTTACTGGTGGAATGGAGACAAATACTTGGGACCCGCAGTCCTCATGCAGGTAAGGCGGGGTGATCCAGAGCCCCAAGGGAATGGTGAGTTGGTGTGGGCACAGTAGCCAATTAAGAGTCCTCTGGGCTTATTGTTGACCACCAGGTCCATTGGTATGTCTGGTCCCCCTCCCTGCCTCCACCCCTCCGCTAACTTCATGTAAGCTTTATGTTCATGAAGTTAATTAAGGGTGGTGCCTGAGTTACCACTGGATCTCCTCCCCAGTAGAGAACATAAGGAAAAAAAAGGAGGGGGAAGAGAGAGAGAGAGAAAAAACCATTGCATGAACAAATGAATTAATTTTACTTTCTTTACAACCATGCTGAGCACCGTACACATCAGAAGTGCTCACTTTGGCGCTGAGAATGCACAGAGACAGGAAGCAAGCCCTGCTCCCAGCTCAGTGGCTCAGGAGCCAGCCGGAGTGGGGGTGGCGTGGCCTGAGCCACAGCAAAGTCTAACCCAGGGAAGGGATGGGGCAACGAAGCAGAAATGCTGCAGACAGAGGGCCCCAGGAACGTCTGAAGAGGAAATACTCTGATGGGATTGCCTCTGTCTTCTCCTCCAGGAGGGCTCTCAGAACCCTTGTCTGCAGTGTGGTGATTTTCTCCATTGCAGATTTCTGCTCCTGGTGTGCTCACCACCGTCAGGTTCAGCTGCACACGCAGGTGTTCTGCAATAGGTTTCCTCGTGCAGTTGGCTGGACGCTAGCCTGCTTTGGTGGCTCTGGCCACCACCACTCCCTGCTTCTCAGCCCAGGGCAAAACTGATTTCTCCATCCTCTCATGTCTCCTAGCATTATTATTCTGCTCATCCTTCTCCATCTTAAGACTGTAAACCCTTTGAGAGCATGTGGCATGCTTCCCTTGGTAAACCTCAAAGTGCTGTACAAAGTACACATAGTTGTTAATCTGCAGATTAAATTGTTACCTACGGGCCCCCGGGGCCTTGCACAGAACAGTGGTTAATAAATGCTTATTGAAATGAATCAAGAATTTCTATCAAACATGCCTGATCTGGGCCAGACCTGCTGTAATTGGAGGGAGAAGCAGAGAAACATCTCTATTCTGGAGTGACACTCGGGACAGACAGAGGTCATGGCCAGACTGTGTGAGGTCAAGTGCTGAGCTGTCTGTGGTATCGAGTGGAGGTCAAAGGAGGGCTGAGCTCATGGGGCACCGCCTTGAAGCCTGGGAGGGCTTCTCAGAGACCTCAGCCTCGGAACCTTCTCAGCTTCCTCTCATGCCTCAGCTTCCGCATTAGACTGTAAGGTCCTTGGAGGCCGGGGCTGTCTTTTTGTTACTTGTAGCCCCAGCACATTTATAAACGTGGATTGGATTGGATCGGGTGGGTGGGCCAGCAGGCAAGAACATGTTCCCGGTAAAGATACCCTTTCAGGCTGATGCCCCAGACGGCAGCTTCCTTCCTCCTTCTGGCTGTGAGCCGTGGGCTCTCTTTTTCTAGGCCTATCGCTGGATGATTGACTCCAGGGACGACTTCACAGAGGAGCGGCTGGCCCAGCTACAGGACCCGTTCTCTTTGTACCGATGTCACACCATCATGAACTGTACCAGGACCTGCCCTAAGGTATTCGGTGCTCAAAGCCATCAGAATGGTCTGGCCTTTCTTTGTCCCGTGGCAGGGTGAGCTACAAAGGTTGTTGAAGCATTCAATTAATTCAGCTCTGGGCCCACAATGCAGTGAGTGACGGTGAGATTGGGTATCTGGGTTGGAAAGGACACTCAGCCTCCAGAAATGGGGTCTTCCTTCCCTTTCCCTCGCCCGAACTCGGCCAGGCATCTTTGCAGTCTCTGGATGAGAAATCAGGGCCGTGTGGCTTTACCCAGAGTCAGGTCAAGTCAATATGCATTTATTAAGTGCTTGCTGAGCTAAGCGCTGGAGATACAAATACAAGCAGAAGGAAAGACAGTCCCTGCCCTCAAAGAGCTTACATTCTAGTGGGGAAAGACAGTGCACGAGAGGGTGAAGGGTGGGCTGGTACACAGAGTCCTCAGTGCAGCCTGGACCGGAACAAGACAGGAGAGAGAGAAGCAGTAAAACCACAACCTGAAAATGAAATGCACGTGCTCGTTCCCTGGAAAGAGCCATCAAAATTCTTGTATATCCATATGGGAGAGGCAAGCTGGAGTTTGGGATGGGGGAGTGTTTGTTTGTAAGGACCTGAGGTTTCATCAGCGTGGGAAAGTCCCTCCACACATGCAGTCAGCGGCTCCTCTGTAACTTAGAGCCTCGCTCCCACTGCCAGCATGTGAGGCAAGACCTGAGCCAGGTCTCCTAGACCCCACAGCAGGCCTTCTCCACCTGTCCCACTGCTGTTCTCAGGGACGGAATCCAGGTTACCCAGTGGGGTGCAGGAGCAAGGAGCGCCCAGACACGGCTTCCGGAGAATCATGGAAAGCTGGAGCTGGGACGGGGCTGAGTCAGCCTCGGCATCCTGCTGTGTGTGTGTACCCTTCTGTGGGCCTCAGAGTCCTACTCATGTGATGAAGGGGCTGTTCTAGATTATTTCAGAAGGCCCTTCCGGCCCCAGATCTATGATCCTAGTCCAGCTGCCTTAATTTACAGAGTGGGGAACTGAGGTCCCTTGAAGGCTGAGGAATTGTCCAAGGTCACACTGAATGTTTGTGGCCAAGCCCAGAACTAGAAGCCTGGTCTCCAGCTCACGTCCAGTGCTCCTTTCCTTATGGGGGCTTGATTTGTGCCCAGTCAGCATGCTTACAGGTCACGTTTCTGGTTTGGTTTAAGTGTAACTCGCTGTCCTTTCCTCTTGTACACATAAGAGACGAGTGAGCCGAGAGAGTCTGTTCATGCCTTCTCAAAAGAGGTCCCAGTTTCTGGTTTGAAACACTTGAGATTCATGCATTGGGCTTTTAAAAAGGAATTTCAGAGAGGGAGTGAGGTGGATCAAGAGTTGGTCCCCAACCAGGAAGCCCTGGGTTCAAGTCCTGCCTCTTACGTAGACTGGCTTTGTGACCTGGGCAGATTTCTGAACCTCTCAGGGCCCACGGGAAACTGTGTAGGACCATAAACCACAGAGAAGGTGCCCATCCGCCTTGGAGAAGAGCTCACCCAGCTTTCCCTGGGCCGGTGGAATCAGAGGTTCAGACAAGCTAACAAAAAGGAATTTCCCAGTGTGTGCCAGACACTGGGTGTCTGGGGTGTTGGGGGTTAAACCAACCCCTGCCCTTGAGGAGCTTCCATTTGCCAGTGGATGGTAGGGGCAGGAAGTGACACAGGGCTTTTCTTCTGGGCCTTGTCACCAGCCCCCCAGCATTTTAGATTTTGCCCTGAATTCCTCTTTGAGGCACTGAGTGCTTTCTTTTTGGGGTGGTGGGATGTTTGGCTAAGCTCAGGTGATTTCCCTGCCTGGGATTACCAGACACAGACCAGGCTTCTTCTCTCTCCCTCGTTCTCACTTCAGAAACCTGGCCATTGTGGGGCTTGCCTTACTGGATGTTGTCACAGAAGGCCAGCTACTGCCAGTGCCGGTTTGCTAATCTGGCCAGCAGTTGTATTGTGAAGATAATCGGCCCCCAATTATCAGGGACCTCCAACATTCTTGAGACGGTCTGGCAGCTGGCTTCTGCCAGCGTTGGTCCAGCGAGGGCACCCACGTCCGAGATTTCACATTAGCCATCTCTTGGCATCTCTTCAGTCCAAACTTGGATTTTAGCCATTTCACTTTGATTCGATTCTGTGCACCAAGCCTACTGTGTGCCAGACCTAGCCTCCGGGGTCCTGCCTCTCTGTCTGCGGGGGGTGGGGGGGTGCCTCACAAAGCCTGAGCCAAGGCTCCTGAGGCCATGCAGAGAGGGGAGCACTCACCAGGGAGGGGCTCAGGGAAGGTCCCCCCTAGGCTGGGCCTTCGCTGGTCCTCCCAAGGTTCTAGATTCTCTTGGGCAGTGCCTGAAAACCTTGTGCTGGGCTGGGTCTGTATCCATGCTAAGTCAGGCCAGTTGGCAGAGCATACCTCATGTGCCCCCGTGGTGGACCCAGTAGATCACCTGGTGAAATCAGTGATGTGGCCCTGTTGCCCCTGAGTTGAGTTAGCAGAGTTGATGTGTACATTGTTGCAGCAGGGGTGGCTGAAGAATTGGCCAGGGGTCCCGAGTTCTCGAGTTGGTGCTGATGGGATCGCTTCATGTTCTGTTTCTGTTTCCCTTCCCCCCTTCCCCCTTCCCCCGCCAGGGACTGAATCCAGGAAAAGCAATAGCTGAAATCAAGAAGATGATGGCGACCTACAAAGAGAAGAAAGTGAGTGCTTAGCCATCTCCAGCCTTGTCATAAGTGGTAGCCCCCACAGGGCTGAGCCTAATTGATGTCTGATTTGACCTGTTTTTCCATGAATGTTGCATGTCCAATGAGAACTTCAAGAGGTAAATAAAGAACATACTACTTTATTAACAAAACCATCCTGAGGCCGGGCTTTTTTCACACTGCAGAATACAGTTGCTGGTGAGGGGAGGTGGGTGGCCTTTGTTCTGTGCTCCAGATGGTTCACACGTGCCCCAGAGTGATAGGGGGTCAAAGGGCTAGAAGATGTTAGAGTGATGTTTGCCAGTTTAAATTGTTTAAAAGGTAAGAAGGCCTCTTTTCTGTCTTTGGAGAGCAGTTTTAGAATGTTAGCACGGAACTATGTCCCCAGTGACCTCACTAAGAGTTATTCTGGTTCCAAAGAATGTTTAAAAAGCATTCACGACTAACTGGTTGCTGAGAATGAGTGTTATTTCACCTGCTATGGTTATGGGCTAAAACCATCTTAACAGAAGGAGGGGGTCTGAATTAAATGGGGAGATGGATTGAGAGATTAGGAGCTAAGCCCCCAATTATCATCTCAGACATTCTAGATATCCCTCCATAGGGATGGCTAGATATATTGTGGTACATTCATATAATATTAAGAATGACAGGTATGAGGAATACAGGGAAACCTGGAAAGAGCATCATAACATAAAGGAGAAAAAAGCAGAATTGAAAGGATGGAATATGGAATAAATGGACAGCTTCTGGTGGCAGCTCAGAGGGACTGAAATGGCTTATACATCATGCATCAAAATTTAAATGTTGGTCTCACTAGCTGTTCGTATTGGTGATCAGCATTAAATTTTCAATAAAACTTTTTCAAAGCCATCTTCACTCCTCGCTGCTCTAGTAGATATTTTGGAAACCACAAAGTGTTCAGTCCCTTGGAACAGAAGGTTCCAAGGTGAGTCTAAAAGGGGCCCGAGAGACTAGGTCAGCCCCATCTCTCTTCTAGAGGAGGAAGGGGCACCAATCCTCCCGCCTGCTACAACTGTGCCCCTAAGCCAGCTCCATATTATTATTTTTCCGCCAGCCTTGGGGATCTTCTGTTCTGTACAAGGTTGGCCTTCCTGCTAATCTCCCCCTCTATCTATGGGGAAAGATACATTTTTCTCATGAATAACTTAATGGCTTCTACGGAAGATTGCTGGTGCTGACAAGCTAAAGGCTGATGGCTGTCGTGTCAAATTAGCATCCACAGATACCAGCCCTGTTGCTGAGGGGTCACTCTGCCCACCCCACGAGCCATTTTTACCTCAAACTAAATTGGAAGGCATTATCAGCTGACAATTTAATTTTCCTACCTTGCTGCTGTTTGATTGGACTGGAAACACAGACCCTGTCCCTTTCAAGCATTCACCGCTCCTTTCACTGATGTGATTGTAGACGTGGGAAAAATGAGAATTAGGACATCCTGGAATTTGCATCGAGCCACTCGATGGTGGGTCTGAGCACATTGCAGTATGTGGCCAGTGAGAGACATGAAGAAGAAAGAGATATAAAAGACAAGATCCAGGAATTATATGATAGGAAGGGAAGATGAGCCAGTCAGTGGAGAAGGTGAAGGACAGGTGGATGACCTTCCATACCCGGGGATATCTAGAGAAATCTAGGAAGGCCTCCAGCACATTGGATGGACCTCCTATGATGAACTTGGGGCAGACGTGGGCAAGAGCCAAGCCTAATAGGGGAATGTGGAGGGTGGAGACAACTGCAGTCTGCTTCATTGGAGGGACGCTGGAGTATTTGAGTACTGGAGGGGGGAGGGGGGAATCAAATGGGTCATGGTCATGTGTGTAGAACCCTTCTAGTCCAACCTTGTTCCACCCCCAACCCTTAACTCATAGATGAGATCACAGAGACCCAGGCATTTGGCACACAGCTAGTAAAGTGACTGTCCAGGATTCGAACCCACCGACCCCAAAGTACATGCTATTACTATTGTTTCCAATTGTTTATAGACCTTAGAGTGAGTCATAACATGAGTTAGGAGCCTCCTTTTTAGTTCAGAAATCAGTATCTCTCTAGTCTTAAAGCCCTAATTCCAGACTTGACCCTGGTTAGATCGAAGCACCCTTGACTGGTTGAGTCCCTGCCTGCCTTCCTCAGCCCCTGTAAAGGCCTGGGCTATGACCTACTCAGGGGCAGGGCCACCCTCTCCTTTCAGAAGGGCTTTAAGATACAGATCAGGAGAAGTGCTGAGGTCCCTTTGATTACCCAGAGGAGACCATTAAGGGGCAGGGTCACGGAAGGAATGTTATCCCAAACTGTAAATATTGAGACATTCCCCTAGTTCGAGATTCCTACAAATTTTACTTCTAATCCTTTTGGGGAAAGAGATATATCTGAGGACATGGAAGAGGGGGAGGGACGCTCTGCTGATCCAACATCTCTCTCTAAGCTGGAACATGCTGGGATGTTAGAATTATGTTAAATAAAAGTGTTTCTGGAAGACATGCCTGAAACGCAGAGGAGATGTTATGTGTTTTCTTCAACACCTTCCATGGCCTTACACAGGGCAGACCTAGGACCAAGAGGGGAAAGTTACAGGGTCTAGGGGGACTAATTGATGTTGTCCAGCTGCCCTGAAAGGGAGGGAGCTCTCTGTCACCAGAACTGTCCCAGCTGAAGTTTGATAACTGACCACCTGTCAGATATGCAACGCAGGAGAGGCTTAAGCTCTGCAGTCCCATTTGCCCTAAAATTCTCTAATTCTTTTGAGTTTATGGCTGGCTAATTAGATGACTTGGTTACAGTAGATTGTTAATGAGGCCAAAGCCATCCCACTCATAGATAACCTAAAGAGCTTTGCTAAATCACTCTGAGAAGGTAGTCACCGAATATTCACTTGAATGAACAAAAAAGGCAAAAAGCATCTAAGCTCTAGTGTTGGGCCTGGAGTCAGGAAGACTCATCTTTCTGAGTTCAAATCTGACCTCAGACACTTACTAGCTGTGTGACCCTGGGCAAGTTACTTTCAGTTCTGCCTCAGTTTCCTCACCTGTAAAACCCCTGGATCAAATAAGATATTTGTAAAGGCTTTGCCATAGTGCCTGGCCCAAAGTTCCAACTTCCTTAGCATGCACTGGGAATAAAAAGCAAAGATAGTCCCTGCTCATACATAAGATGCTGGTATTGTGAAGGGGGAGACAGCATACAATAGATCTTCCACCCCCTCCTCGAATGATGGTAGATTGGTTTGATGATGGTTCAAGGTTGAAGGGGGTAAGCAGGGGAGGGGGAGGGCAGGGGAAGAGAGTAGCCAGCCCATCAGAAGGGCAGTAAAGCATGTGTTGGGCGTTTCCTGAAAGTTCCCCTCCTAAGAGGCTATTACCAGCAGACAGAAAGGGATTTCCCAGGGTGGGGTGGCGGCTTCCCTAGGGTAGAAACGGTTTTGGTGAGGTTGTGGAGAAGGAGGCCTGTGGTGGGGAGGGGAAGGGGTGGAGGGAGGGAAGTATCACAAGAGCTTTTCCTGAAATTGCTCTATAATTTTTGCTGGTGAGACCTTCATAATTCAATCATGGCCTTTCAGTTTCTGGAGTTGCCATTGCTAAAAAAGCCATACTCTTCTGGTCTGGGATGGAGTGGGGGTGAGCTCCTCTGTGCCTAGGATCCTAGGATCAGAGAACCAGAGAGAAGCCAATCCATGACTAGTCTAGCACTCAAAGCCTGGCCAAACTGATGGGGAGAACCAGCTGGTACCCTCCTGACAGGGGTTCCAAGAACCAGAGGAGAATATCTGTGGAGTCACTCAGATCTTGCCACAAACAAACAAATGGTTTCTAGCTGTTTGAGGACAGGCTTCCCTTAGATCAGGAAGTCTCAAATGTTCTACTGCTTGGGCCCAAGAGAAGATTTGGTGGATGACCTCCTATCCTCATAGACCTGTGGAGTAATTCACTTGTTAGAGATCTTAGAACATAATGTTAGAACTGGGAGGAGCCTTACAGCACAGTGTCAAAGCTGGGAGGGCCTCTAGAACCCAGAATGTCAGAGCTGGGAGGGC